AGTGAATTTTTTCCTCCCTCAACTAATTCTATTGTGATACATGAAAAAATCTACTTCTGAGCAAAATTTACATTTGCCAGTATTACTTTATCAGCCAAGGAGGAACAAAAGCACATCTCTCACTTTAAATCAAAAGCTTGAAATGATTAAGCTTAATGAGGAAGGAATGTCAGAAGCTGACATAGGCTGAAAGCTAGGCCTCTTTAGCCAAATAGCCAGGTTGTAAATGCAAAGGAAATGTTCTTGAAGGAAATAAAAAGTGCTACTCCAGTAAACACACAAATGATAAGAATGTGAAATAGTCTTACTGTTGATATGGAGGGCTGATGTAGAAGCTGCAGCAGGTTCTCCAGAAGATCTAGCTCAGATCATTAATGAAGGTGGCTCCACTAAACAACAGATTTCTAATACAGACAAAACACCTTTTATTAGAAGAAGAAGCCATCGAGGACTTTCATCACTAGAGAGAAGTCAATGCCTGGCTTCAAAGCTTCAAAGGACAGACTGACCCACTTGTTAGGGGCTAATGCAGCTGGTGACTTTAACTTAAACCAATGTTTATTTACTGCTCTGAAAATTTTAGGACCCTTAAGAATTATCCTAAGTCTACTCTCCCTGTGCTCTATAAATGGAACAATGAAGCCTAGATGATAGCACATCTGTTGACAACATGGTTTACTAAATATTTTTAGCCCATTGTTGAGACCTATCGTTCAGAAAATGATTCCTTTCAAAATAAGACTGCTTATTGACAATGCACCTGGTCATCCAAGAGCTCTGCTGGAGACATACAATAATATTAATGTTTTTTTTTATGTCCGCTAACACAACATCCATTATGTGGTCATGGATCAAGGAGTAATTTAGACTTTCGACTCATCTTATAAGAAATACATTTCTTAAGGCTACAGTTGCCATTGATAGTGATTTCAGTGATGGATGTGGGCACAGGAAATCGAAAACCTTCTGGATTCTCCATTCTAGATGCCATTAAGAACATTCATGATTCATGGGAAGAGATCAAAATATCAACATTAACATGAGTTTAGAAGAAGTTGATTTCAACCCTCAGGGATGACATTGAGGAGTTCAAGACTTCAGTGGAGAAAGTAACTGCAGATGTGGTAGAAATAGCAAGAGAACTAGAATTAGGGGTGGAGTCTGAAGATGTGGCTAAATTGCTGTAATCTCATAACAAAACTAATGCATGAGGAGTCGCTTCTCATGGATGAGCAAAAAGAGTGGTTTCCTGACATGGAATCTACTCCTGGTGAAGATGCTGTAAAGATTGTTGAAATGACAACAAAGGATTTAGAATATTACATAAACTTAGTTGCTAAAACAGCAGCAGAGTTTGAGAGTTCATTTCAATTTTGAAAGAGGTTCTACTGTGGGTAAAATGCTGTCAAACAGTATTACGTGCTACAGAGAAATTGTTCACGAAAGAAAGAGTTTGTTGATGTGACAAATTTCACTGCTGTCTTATTTTAAGAAAAGGCCACAGCCACTCCAACCTTCAGCAACCACCACCCTGATCAATTAGTATCCATCAACATTGAAGCAGGACTCTCTAAAGATTACCACTCACTGAAGGCTCAGATGATGGCTAGCATTTTTTAGCAATAAAGTACTTTTAAATTAAGATATGTACATTGCTTTTTTAGACAATACCAGTGCACACTTACTAGACTACAGTATGATGTAAATATAACTTTTATATGCACTAGGAAGCCAAAAAAGTAGTGTGACTCACTTTATTACAATGTTCACTTTAGAGTGTGGCAGTCTGGAACCAAACTCACAATATCTGCAAGGTATGTCTGTACTAGGTCTTTGTTATGGTCTCTCAAAGAAGAGACTTCAACGAACCTCCAGCGAGATTGCTGAGACAGGCGTAAACTATCAGGCCCGAACACATGAGGATGCCTTGTGTTTCCATGTTGATGGAGCCACTTTTTCCACCTCCTCACCTCGAGGCTCATCACCAAGAATAGATGCAGAGATCCCGGGATGTAATTAAGTGGTTGGTTGATTAATTGGATTTAGTGACCTTAGGGACCTGTAATTTTGCAGTAACCACTTGTATGATTCAGTGCATCAGAACATTCATGTCTTCAGTATGTTATTGATTTTTTAAAGTATGTTTTTGGCTTTCTGTGGGTAGCACCCTCAAATGAAAGTATAACCTCCAAGAGAAATATAAACTAGTTGACTTACACAACGTCTACTGCTTTTGACCTCTGATTTCATCTTGGTGAAAAGCAAATGTTCCATATTCAGGGATGGAGTTAGGAAAATTGTAAAGTTGGTCAAACTTATACTCAGGGATCCTGACTCTCCCTTTACATATCCTTCCCTCTCCCTGAGGAGTACCTCCCTTGTTCTCTTGGGTTTCTGGCTCCTTCATAGTCTGGCTACAGAGCCTCCCACTAATCTTGCACTCATGGCCTTTATTCATCCTAAAGGATAAATAGCATCTTGAAATATTTATAAATAAATTAAATAATTAATGCACTTTAGCATTCGATGTGCTTAGCAGTGGAAATTAAATATTCTAAATCAATTGTGGAGTTCAAGAAGCAAATAGACTATAAAATCTCCCACTTTATGTATAGGAAGATGAACTCTGCAAATGTCTGTCAAATGCCTGAGTCCTATATAAATGCCATCCAGCATCCTATGAAATTTAACTCATGGAAGGTGAATTGTCAAAATGCCTTTTTGAGGCCCAAGTGACCATTTCAAACCAAGAACTTAAATAATATAAAACTATATCTATTAAAATATCACCAACACCTTCACCAATAAAACCAATTGATCATCTTTGCATATATCAATTAAGTACCCCCAATATCACTTTTCCCATGAAGTCTATAAGTAGCTTAATTTCTACTTTAATAATAGTAATATTATTATTTATGTTTGAACAAACTGTTAATGATGTCATTCTTTCACTTTATTCTCAAGGTGTTAAAATCGAATCCATAATAGTCTTTAAATCAAGCCCTTATCCAGATCATCTTGTTTCTATCAGTGGCACCAAAGTCTCCTGTTTATTCAGATTTTAAGCACAAGGGTCATCTTTAACTTACCCCAAGCCATCCCTGCTAACAAATTAACCTTTCAAAAGTAGAGCTTATGCCATGTCACTTTCATCTAGAAAAAGAGGAGTAAAAGCGAATGCCTTTCCATTACCTGCGAATTAAGCATTAGTCCTTTTTCGCTATGGTTTAACACCATCCAAAATGTGAATTGGACATCATAAATACCTCTAATTTGCACAGTTCTCTGTTTTTCCTATTACGAATTACGATTCTTACTAGCTAACATTTAATAACTATTTACTAAATATTAGGCACTGTCCTTAGGCGTCATGTAAATTGTCTTAGATAACCTCAGCAGAGTCTGGTTAGGTGGATACCATTACATCTTCTTTTCGTAAAATGAGTCCATCGAAATCACTGAACTAGGTAACAGAGGAGGAGAATTCATTTCAGCAAAGGCTGCAATGTGTCGGAAGTAACAGAGACCTGTTGAACAGCAGTGATTCAGCTCTGTGTCTTGTGGCTCTAAAGCTAGTGACACTAATAATTCCCCTCCATCTGTCCCTTAAGCCGAGTATAAATGTTAATTTCAAGTGGAATGGATGTCATTATTCTCTCCAGGAATGACGGAGGTTGCTGGGAGAGGTCCCAGATTCTCTCCCCATTTTCTCTAAGTTGTGACATAGTACAACATTTGTTTGTAGCTATGTTGCCTACTCCTTTGATGACCATATCTAGATTTTCCCAAGCAATTCTGGTTTCAAACTTTCTGCCCCTTCATAGTCAGAGGCATGATTTAGGGGAAATGCACCAGAAAACATCATCAATAAAAACTTTAAAGCCACATGTTGAGTTGATATTATAAAGATCATGGTGAAAAGTTGTGAGAGGAAGCAGGCTGAAAGGAAACTGAAGTCCTCAGACAGGCATTGCCCTGTGACACGGGTTCTGCCACAAAGCAAAATAAAGGTCACTCTCTTCTGTCCTCTGATTTCAGAACCTGAACATGTACCCTAAGTTGTAGTATTTTGCAAGGCCAGTGTACCCCCATGAAGTTATACAGCAATAGCTTAGCAGAAAATAGGGCCCAAAGCATTCTTTCCAATGGCCAGGCAACTGACAGGAACCAGAGCAGGTAAAGGATCCTCTTTCTTCTCTCTTTATAGGCACATCCCCTTGAATGCAAAGAACCAATGTTTGATAAACTTTGTAATAATAAAGCTTTGCCCAGAGCAGCCACTTTTATTTCAGAAGATGAAATCATATTACCTCTTATGATGTTAAACCCAAGCAAAAATGAATTCTCTAACCTTTGTGATCAATTGATCTGTGAATAAGATCAAATGATAAAAAATTATTGATATTTCCATTTTCTCTGAGAAGAATAGATTAATATAAAACACATGCGCACAGAATGTAAGAATGTTGAAGATATTTCTCATTACTTTATGTAGGAGATTCAATGAAACTTGGTTAATAAGTAGAAATATGTTTCAAAGTGCCCATATGCTTTTAATTAAAAAATCATGAAGTCTTGATACTACAGATCTGCTGATGTATTTGGCATGGAGGAAAAAAGAGCAGAAAAATCTATGCGCTGGATTGTTAATTCAATGCCAACTAACAAACTGAGCTGACTATTTTATGGTGACAAGAAAATTCCAAGGAGCAAAGGTTTATCTTCTTATAATCAAGGGGTTGAGATACCAATGCAGAGTCTCCAGGTGCTGAAAATGTTCCTGTTTTTTTAACCTCTGCAGTATGAGCCTTGATGCAACATGTCCCCAAGAGGAGACCATTCGAGCAAAGTTATATACACTTGGACAACAGCTTTGGTTTTAAATAAATAAATAAATAAGAAATAAAAGATGCAGCCTTTTTAGGCTTTCTATCTAAGTTGCTCTTATCTGAGCTTTTCCAAACCAAGTCTGTAATAACAGGCTTTCCTTTCCACAGGGAGATAAAGAAGCTGAATTAGGGCTTCCATTTTCCCCGCTCTGTGATCGAAAGTCAACGATGGTGGCCCAGTCCCAAATAGGTAATACTGAAGATTGGTGGTCGTGGATTGTGGTTGTGTGCCTGTCCATTTGCAAATGGATACACGATGTTGTTCATCCATGAAAACTTCCCTCCATATTCATGATGAATTTGATCTTTAGACTGATCTGTATGGTGATGCATAATAAGAATTTTGAAACATTCTCACAAAGGAGTTCAACAAAGCAGTATTAGTAAATAATTGTAATTCTGTTTGTAATCCTTTTACAAAATAGAAGGCATTCTTCTGGTACAAGAGACAGCATTTTTTGTTGTTTTGTTGCTGATTACCTTTTTTGTAATTTAATCCTTTGTGTATAGTCCAATCCAATGAAAAATATTAATGTATCTGTTCTATCACTAAGTTTGCATAATATGCTTATATACTGCTCATATTCTTTTGGGGAAAAAAGTCTTATGATATGAATAGAGAAGCCAATAATAGGAAATTTGTAAAATGATATTGCTCCTAACCATATTCATTCTTCTCATTTGTATTTGTGTTGGGGACTTCAAGTCCAGCCCATGATTAAAACATTGCTATGCTGCATGGTTCAAGTATCTGTTATAGTTATTCCCTGAGCCAGTATCTTCATTACTAAACTACATGATCAATAAACATAAGGCTCACCACCTTAACTGGCTAGTTGCTCAAGGACTGCCTCCCCCAAAGTGGCTGTCAGAAAGCTGCTTGCCTTGCCTCCCTTCCCACCCACATTCCAACAGCTCGTTTCCTGGATACCATAACGCAGGTGCCTCTCGTCCTTCAGCAGGTGTAAATGTGGCTGGCTAAGGCCCTCCCCGGACAAGCTGAGAAGAATGGACGTTTCGGAGGCTTGTTGCTGTGTTGTAAATTGCTGCCATGTTAGGGGAAGTGACCCTCATTTGACAATCTCTAGATCCCAGGCATCTAAAACCACTGACAAAACTTGAAATAACACCCTGGGTGGTCAGTTAGCATTATTTAACTTGAAGGCAACTACTGAAGTTTTTTTAATTAAAAATGCACCTTAATGTGTGCTATGATAGAGCCAATTACTTGAAATGTGAATTACTGTTTCCGAGTCTCTGATGGATGGGATACTCTTCAAAGGTGGATGTTTCCCAGGACAGTGTCACTTAAAAAGCCTCCCCGCAGTATGACCCTTATGTTCAGATGGTGGCCTATTGCTCACAGTTGTGTTTACGGCAACAAGCACTGCACCTCTCCTGGGACCTCAGGGTGTTAAACGTACACAGAGCTTGTCTCTGCCGCCACCTAAACACAGGTGGTAAATGCTCCCTAAAGGGCCATGTGCCATTCTCTGTGTGTGTCATTTCTAGTTTGATGAGTACTTTAAATGTAAAAGTCTTTATTCAATCCGGACACCTCAAAGTGGTGGGATTAATGCTGTCTCCCAGAGATGTTACTGTTCTCTGGCTTATTTGACAGAATACACCCACACACGGCAAACTAATGCTTTACATCCAGAGAGTAATAAACAGCAATTTGAAATATTAACACACTGGCACAAAGCTCTGACTGATATAGGAAGAGAAAAAAAAGTGGTTGCCTTCATGCAGCCTGAGAAATAAACTTCAATTATTTAGTTTCTTTGGGGAGCTTAGATATTATTTCTTGTTGGTCAATAATAAAATTCAACCAAACTTTCAGAAAAGGTAGTGATCTTTCTGTTCAACAGAGGAAAATATATTCACTCTGGTTAGATCCGAAATTATTGTTAACAATAATATGAGGCTGAATAGTAAGTACGCAACTCGGTATATTTGAGTTAGCAAGCTTAAATTTTATTGCTTTCCCTGCTTGAGAGGTTATTTTTATAAAGAACAGTTAAACTCTCTCTAAAGATTGTGTTATTGGATTAAAAATAATTGCAAAGGGCAGGCTGAACCAATATTATAGTTGAAACTTGCTGTCAGGAGCATCAGAATCTCTTCATTATTACTATTCTTAGAATTCAGGAAATTGTAACATGAATTTGTTTTTGCTTTTGTAGGTTTCATTGATTTCATAGTAGAGCCAACATTTTCTCTTCTGACAGACTCAACAGAGAAAATTATTATTCCTCTCATAGAGGAAGCTTCAAAAACTCCTTCCTATGGAGCAAACAGGTTTGATACTTTCTTTTTTGAATTGTTTCCC